TAAACATGTTGATACTATTGGAATGTTTGAAATACTACTATAACAACTTTCTAAAACTTAACAAATGACGGGACCCTTTAACACTGACCCCAGGAGTTCACTGCCATTGTTCTCTCCTTGGTACCATTAAATATCCCCCGGATCCAAAAGCTAAATGAAGAGCAGTGATCTGTTCTGACTCTGGATAAGAAAACCTCTGCCTTGGATTTACTGAAAAGTGGTCTGCTGATCTCCACTCCCTCACCATTGTGAAGCGTTTTCCAAGATGTTTGTGTTTTTTTTAAACATTTTTATTTATTTCTAGGAGAGAGAGAGAGAGAGAGAGACAGTGTGAGCAGGGGAGGGTCAGAGAGAGAGGGAGTCACAGACTGAAACAGGCTCCAGGCTCCGAGCTGGCAGTTGAACCCACGAACCGCGAGATCATGACCTAAGCGAAAGTCGGACGCTCAACCGACTAAGCCACTCAGGCGCCCCCCAAGATGTTAATAGTAGATGATTTCAGAATTTAAGCTAACCCCCTCACTAGGTGGGGCCTATCAGCCTTCCTGGGATGCACAGCACCCGGGCCTTTCACACACGGTGGGGCAAACAGCATTTCTCTAACAAAGCTGAGGCTGGAGAGGATTAGATGTACCCTGCCCTTGGGTAACTGTGCACCCACGAGTAATGACTAGCCTCCAGGTCCTGGTTCCAGGGCTTTCAAGCGGCCTCGCCTTAATCTGAACACTGGAGAAAATGCACATCTCACCTCCCTGGTACGTGAAGATAAGGCAGAAGACAAAAGTTCTGGGAACTCTATAGCAGCTAGCAGATACAAGCTTTTAGAAAAGAGCCAAAAGAAAAGACTCTACTGTGCCTTTAAGAGGATTTCTAGTGGGAAAGGAATATTTCTCTCTTATAAAGACTTGCTTATAACAATATTTTTCAAGGAACTCGGCTCAGATGGTCCAGGAAGTGCATTATGGTCTACCGTAGCATGCAAATTCACTGCTCAGCACATTACGGGAACATAAATATCATCATGATCCCCACACTCTGCAGGTTTTCATGCAGTCTCCTTCTTTCCTTCATTCTTTTCTTCCTTGTCTTCCCTTTTCTTTTTCCTTCTACTTTCTCCTTCTCTTCTTTCCCTCTTCTTTGATATCATAGGGAAATTAAAGTGGCTCATCTCAAATAGAGGAGAGATTTCTTTCTTTCACTTAAAACAGAACAACTTTTTTCCTTAAAGGGATCAATGTCAAATTCCTCAGAACTTCTGCATGTAACAAAAGAGAATTGCTTTGGGGCGCCTGGGTGGCTTAGTCAGTTGAGCGTCCGACTTTCGCTTAGGTCATGATCTCGCGGTTCGTGGGTTCAAGCCCCGTGTCGGGCTCTGTGCTGACTGCCAGCTCAGAGCCTGGAGCCTGTTTCAGTCTCTGCCTCCCTCTCTCTCTGACCCTCCTCTGCTCACGCTGTCTCTCTCTCTCTCCTAGAAATAAATAAAACATTAAAAAAAAAAAAAACAGAGAGAATTGCTTTAAGGTAATGAAGGTATGTTTTCCAGCAGTGACTAAAAAAATTGGAAATAAAGGAAAGCCAAGGAAAAGCTGGAGAGTCCTCACTTGGCAATTATTCAGCCCTTGGAAATTTCCAAGCCCTCTGCAATCATTAATTAATTAGCGAAGATGATGTTCCACTTTACTGAGACTGGGAACGTGACATAAAGAGGTCTAGAGGCTTTCCCCAAGCTGAAAGAGGAATGTCAAGGGAAGTACTGAAATTAGAATTAGGAGCTCATTTCTCAAGCCAGTAGTCACATCACTAAGCCAAGCAGAGTCAATATGGGGACAATAAGGGCCTCTGTGCACAGGTGCAGTTGAATACAGCAGTGTTCTGCTCGAAGGCCGACTGGAAGAGCCCACCCCTTCATCCGCCAGTGCCCCCACAACATACACAGAAAATTTCTGTAGCTTCACCAGCCTCTTTCCCCTTTCCCCAAACACAGACAGATGGCTAAATATCAACCTCTAACCACTCTCCTTTATAATCGCAGCAAAAATACACGATTTAATTTTCATGTTTGAAATGCACAATATGATGTTAAAAACACATGACACCAGTGAAAATAAATATTTTCAAAAAAATGTAATGACATGAAATCCACTGATATCCAGAATCCATAATAATGTAGACCATCTTGAATAATCTTCTCACTCCCATGAGAAGGAAAGGGAAATGCCATGCTTTTTTGGGGAGTGGTTAATTAACGTTCATTCCAAGCCTGAATAGATTGGTGCGAGCGGACTAAACATGAGTAAATCATGTGACTGTGCCTGACCTCTTAGATCCAGGTCTTGCAACGGGTCCTGATTTTTTTCCCCTACACCACTGGATTGGTTCCAAATGTTGAAGAGAGACCATAACACCCCATGACATGATGGGTAAATAGGAAACTCAAAGACTGGCTCAGTACTTCTCAGCAGAAGATTCCCTCCACCAGGCATACTTTTGCTCTGTTTCATGTCTGTTTCCCCCGGTGGGGTGATAGGATCCTTAAACAACTCAGGGCCCATCTCCTACCCTCAGGAACATCAGCCAGGATGGTTTGAACTGGGGAAAAACTGCATACCTATCAGAACTTCAATGGTGACAACTGTCCCAACCTCAACTTTTAATCTTCCATAGGAGAATTTGTTTCAGTTGTATCAAAGTGAGGGAAAGTTCAATAACCCCATTTTGTTCTGAACTGGGTGTTTTCAGGTCCAAGGATGACTACTGCCGACATGCTGTAATGTTAACAAAGGGCAAACCTATCCAGCTTGGCTATTGTTGACAAACTTTATTTAAAAGCAAAACAATATGGCACCTGGGTAGCTCAGTCGTTTGAGCATCTGAATTCAGCTCAGGTCATGATCTGGCAGCTCATGAGTCTGAGCCCCACGCTGGGAGGCTTGGAGCCTGCTTTGGATTCTATGTCTCCCTCTCTCTCTCTGTCCATCCACAGCTCATGTGCTCTCTGTCTCTCCCTCTCAAAAATAAATAAACATTTAAAAAATAAAAATAAAAAATAATAGCAAAACAAATGACACCTGGGTGGCTCAGTCAGTTGAGCATCTGACTTCAGCCCAGGTCACAATCTCATGGTTCATGGGTTTGAGCCCCACACAGGGCTTTGTGCTGACAGTACGGAGCCTGCTTGGGATTCTCTGTCTCCCGCTCTCTCTGCCCCTCCCCTGCTTGCTCTCTTTCTCTCTAAAATAAATAAAGACTAAAAAATAAAAACAAACAAAACAAAACACCTTAATAACATTTCTTTTCAGGGCCTTTGAAAAGAAAGGCCTCCCAAGAGTAATGTTTCAAAACACTTAACATTTTAACTTGGGATCTTTATGTTGCAGAGTGACCATGGCTGGTCCACTTCCATGTAATGAGCATTCATGAGGGTAATGGGGACCTCCAGCTACTCACAGGCCCCATTGGGAAGGGTTCTTTTCCTCTAAGGAACCTAAAATTCCTTTAGAGCACCGTTCATGGAGCAGATGTTTTCAGGTGAGAATCGGGGTTTAGTAAACACATTACCTGGAGAGTAAGGACCTGACAGATTTTTGTCATATGTTGAAAATGCCAATAGGCATATCTGGAAATTGACAATCTTCAATGGGTAAAGGATTATACAAAAACAGCACACACACGTGTGTGTATACACACACATACACACTTCTATAATCCATCTCAACGATTACGATTCAACTTCTAGCTAATCAAGGGCTCTCCAGCTGTGTGTGTGTTTTTTAAAAATATTTATTTATTTATTTATTTATTTATTTATTTATTTATTTATAGAAAGAATCTTGCATTGTTAGCACGGAGCCCTTATGTGGAGTTCGATCCCACAAACCATGAGATCATGACCTGAGCTGAATTCAAGAGTCAGACACCTAATGGACTGAGCCACCCAGGCACCCCAAGGGCTCTCCAATTTCTGGTTTCTCACAGCTCTAACTAAAAAGGAGGGCTCGGTTCCAATTCAATAACTGGAAACTAGCTTGGTTTCTCCATTGCATCCCTTGCAAGCAATTCTCCTTGGATTCTCTTGTCAGGGTGGGAAGAAGCATCATCATGTTTGTTCCTAGTACTCATGAAAGTCCAAGTTGTAGGTGAATAGGTATGTGTGATATTACATCTTAACTATTCACAGGAAGTAACTGAATGCATGGACTTAAAAGACATATATGCTTGTAATTAAATGACTCAATCGAACAAACAAACAAGATAACTGTCCTAAAGGATTTTTTAAAGTTTCTGAACACAGTTAAAGCCTACAGAGTAAGATCCTTCCTGCTGCATCACTAATGGGGACAAATAAGAGGTAATAAACACGTGCCCTCATACTGTAGCCCACCCCCCCTGCCGAAAGAAAACTAGACAAGGTGTCTGCATTACCTTAAATCCTCTTCACCTCACTTACCTACAGGCCCTTGGCCTCTCGTTCTGTCTCAGCAGCCCTAGGCTTGTTTTGCCCTAAGCAGAATCCAGAGTGCCAACTTTGCTTGGGTTCGGAGTGATTTTACATGAGCTTCATATTGCCCTGTCCATCTCTCACCTATAAATACAGGGACTTCCTGTCCCTACTAAGGTACAAGATGCTGCAGATCTATTTAGAGTCCAGGCACATGCAACATCTAGGTGTGAGGGGGTTTCTGACCCACAGAGGGGAGCTTGGACCAGAAGGAAGAGCTGGGAGATAAACTATTTTCCCTTCCTCTCCCTGAACAGATTGCCCTGCATTGCAATGATGATCTTCAAGATTTAACAATTAGCTGTACTTGATACTAAACACCAAACAGTAGCCAGACTGGTAACATGCCGCACGCCTGCTTCACTCGTGCTTACCTGACACGGTACTTTCTAATGACATGAAAGTATCACATGCACTTTTGCCTTAGGCTTTGCTTTCCGGGGGAAGTCAGGCCAGGATGCACACTCCTTCAGCCCCCTCACTATGTTAATGAGTTTCCTACCTTTTGTTGCAGTGGTGGTGCACAGGGCACTGAAACTGGATCCGTGATATAGGTCTTCTTGGGACCAGTAACTGGATACATCCCGGCTGGGTTCTGGTTTCCTGTTCCAGAAGGAGTATATCCTTGGTCCCGCTTCCACGTATTTGGATGCCCTTGTTGACCATAAGCTGGATCGGAGTCATTTTTGCCCCCGTAGCCAGGTCCTGATGGGCAATAGGCTTCATAATAGCGTCCTTGGTTGGGGGCATAGCCGTACCCAGGCTCAGGTTGAAGTCCTGGTGGTGGAATATATGCGTAGTCCATGCCCCCCCGTGTTGAAGGAGGCGGGCACTGCCCAGACATAGAAACCGGTTGAGTGTTATAACCCTGGGGTCCCGGGCCTGCGCCATAAAATTGTCCTGATGACGGAGCAGCCATGTAATGCGAGCTGGGCTGGGCTGACTTCACCTGCACATTGAAGGTAGGCCTCGAAGGGGTGGACGCTGTAGTATAGGAGGCAGGGACTGGTTGAGGCTGGGGTTTTAGCGTTCCGATGGGTGCCACAGGGATGGGTCCTGCCTGGGGTGCAGGCTGTGGTTTCAATGTAGACTTTTTGGTTGCTGTTAGAGGGGGTTGGTTTGGTATAACCATTCTTTTATGTCCTGTGACAGGGGTGGAGACTGGAGGAGAGGCTGTTGAACTAGTAGACCCCTAAAGTGGGAAAGAGAAAAAAAATAAAGAAGATAAAGATTATCGCCAGTGAAAAATGAAAACACACAAGTGAACAAATATTAGTAACTGTTATTCTTATCTTGTATCAACCCTGTGAAATACAAATAAGGTATGGTTCCTGCCTTCTAAGATTTCACAAACTTAACACAAAATTCATGCGCATTTTTGTGTCCTAGCAATGAACAACCTGGAAAAAAAATTAAGGAAATGACTCCCTTTATAATTACATCAAAAAGAAAAAAATACTTAAGAATAAACTGAACCAAAAAGGGCAAAAGAGTACAAAAGCTGCTGAAAAAAAATTGAAGACATAAATATATATAAAGACATCTTGCTTTCACGGATTGGAAGACTTAATATTGTAAAGATGTTAATATTACTCAGAGCAATCTATAGATTTAATCCAATCCCTATCAAAATTTCAATGGCTTTTTTTTCCAAAACTTAAAAAATTCAGCCTAAATTCATATGGAATCTCAAGAGATCTGGATAGCCAAAACAATCTTGAAAAAATAATCAAAATTGTAGGTTTCACACTGTGCAATTTCAAAACTTATTACACAGTTACCATAATCTGAACAGTATGATAGTAGTATAAAGACAGACATATAGACCAACATAATAGGATAGAGAGTCCAGAAATAAACTCTTGCATACATGCACAATTAATTTCTGATGAGAGTTCCAAGACCATTTGTTTGAGAAAGGACAATATTTTCAACAAATGGTGTGGAAAACTGAATATCCACAGGTAGAAGAATGAAGTCGGACCCTTACTTTACATCAGATATAAAAAGTAACCTGAATTTTTAGTTCTAAATGTAAAAGCTTAAAATTTAAAACTCTTAGAAGAAAACACAGGAGGAAAACAAAACAAAAACGAAAAAAAAACAACTGCATGACATTGGAATTGGCAATTTTTTAAATATTTACAACACTGAAACACTGAAACACTGGCAATAATAAAATAAACTGAACAAAGTGATCTCAATCAAATTACCAAAGATTTAGTCAACAAACAGGGGCTCCTGGGTGGCTTAGTCGGTTAAGCGTCCGACTTTCGCTTGGGTCATGATCTCGCGGTTCGTGGGTTCGNGTTAAGCGTCCGACTTTCGCTTGGGTCATGATCTCGCGGTTCGTGGGTTCGGGCCCCGCGTCGGGCTCTGTGCTGCCAGCTCAGAGCCTGGAGCCTATTTCAGAGTCTGTGACTCCCTCTCTCTGACCCTCCCCTGCTCACGCTGTCTCTCTCTCTCTTTCTCTCCTAGAAATAAATAAAACATTTTAAAAAAAAAAAGATGTAGTCAACAAACAGCAAAAAGGAGGTACTGGAGACAGAACAGAAGGAGTGGGCAAAGGGACAGAAAAAGTAAACCAAAGGGGGGTGTTTGAGAGAAACAAATACCCCCAGCAGAACCAAAAAGAGGCTAAAGCTTAGAAGATTCCTATCAAAGAATGATTTACCAAAGATAACCTAATGTAGACTCTTCCTCTTTTTCTAACTTCCTGAATTCCATTCCATTCATTCATTCAATTCAGAAATACTTACTGAATATCCTAAGAATGTTTAAGGACACAAAGATTGGAAGATCTCACTGCCAAACTATCAGAGGTCTTGGCTAGGCTGGGGATAAGTAAAGACTCAGAGAAAGCTTGGAGATTTAAACATTCGTCCTCAGGCATTAGTCTATTAAGGATCGGCAAATATGTCAATGACAGAATGTTTTAATTTTGCTCTGAGTTACTATGATTACATTTGTTGGTACAACAAATGAATGGCCACACCCTCATTTCGTTGTTTATTAATCTCCAAAAAAGTTAATGTATGCTTAGGAAGAGGGGATGCCAGGCCTTATGTTACTCTAGGTTACTCTAGTGTCATCTACCCACATCAAGCCACTAGAGCTATATAGCCATGGGGAAGATGGTGCTAACTGCTTCTTCATACCTACCCCCCTTCTTCACTACTCAAAGAATTGCAATCTTATTCAGGGTGGCAATGTCCCCACTTAAAATACTTCTCTAGATTGCAACCAGAGGTAGAAGTTGCCTGGAGACACAGTTCTGGCCAGTGAGGTATATGCTAAACTTTTTAGGGAAAACAAAAACTCTCCTGATACTCTCATCCCTACCTACCTTGCCAGTTTCCTCTGCCCTGCCTGGGTGGTGCATATGGGGCTGTTGATGGTACAGTTATCTTGCCCCCACTTGCCCCATCAATGCAAGTTGATAGACTTGCAATATCAAGTCTATCAACTCAGATATGTAGCTTTCTGGTGATCTACATTGATTCCAGAGATAAAGATTAAAACATTCCCAGAGATATTTGGTTAACATACAGTAATTCTCAACGGAGAGAAAATCACCTACTGATCAGGGAAATTTGGGAATGAGTGGGAATAATTTTATTGTCACAGTGACTAGGGGATGCTATTATCATTGCATGGGCAGAGAGCAAAACACATCATGGTCAAACCCAAGATGGCAACAGCGTCCGGATGAAAGACACTGATAGACTCTTGGGCTACATTTCTTGGGTCAACCTACTGGGAAGTTCCCAGATGGGAGCCAAGGACGTCACAGGTCCTCTCTAGCATCACTCCTCTACAACACTCTCTACTTCTTGATCCAAATAACCCTTCTCCCCTCGGTCCCTTTGATCCTAGAGGACATAACTGCTCTGACCCTGCTGGCTCTAGATTATGGCTCTGCACTTAACGCCTCTGTACTCAAATGCCTGTGCACATGACACATTTATAAATCAGCATGTTATCATTTTTGTTGGGATTCTGACAGTTACAGCTCTCTTTTTCACATTTTATTTTTCTCAATTTATATCCTAAGGAATTCATAATTCTAGATTTAGTTCTTTAGGTTACAGGAGGCTGCTGAATACAGTTATCTTTTTTTATTTAATCTGATACTAGCCTCTCAGAGGACAAACTTGCCATTTACTTTTGTAATTTAAGCAAACTGAGTAATCTTGTCTTGGCAGAGTAGCTTTTCCCTTCTACCTGAAGACAGTTCCAACAGTACCCAAGAGAAAGAAATTCCATTTCCTCAGTAGGCAATTTATTAAAAAATATATATATCCTGAAGAAATTCCTAAATAAACACATAATTAATTAAGTTCCTGGCATTCTGTAGTAGAAAGCATAGAGTCAGTTTAGACCTTAAAAAAAAAAAAAGTAAGATCAGTTTTTTCCTAGTCAACCATGTCAGTCTTAAAAAAATGTCAGCATAGATGGAATTGAATATAAGAGAAGGAATAAAGCTTTTCTTTTCTTTGATGACTCAAGATCAGCAGAAACCCAGAGTTCCTATTTTGAACACTTTACAAACCCAACTATAAATGGCGACAGTGACTGAGCAACTGGGCTAATAACGCGTCCTCTCTGCTGCAGCTGTAGAGAAGTCTGCCCCCAGAGCAGATACTGCAGAAGGCACAGATTTTGAAAATGAAAGCCAACCACATTGATAAAGTAAGGGAAAAAAATAATTAATGAAGACCTATCTCCTTAGAAGCAACGTTTTCCAACAAAATTTCTTTTCTTTCTTGGTGAACAGACACACCGTGTGTGAACAGACACACAGAGAGACACACACATACACACTTTTGACATCCCTAAAGTCTTTGAAGGAAGGTTTCAGAAGCAATTGCTTTCTTCTAGGAAATATCTTACCAGTGGAGCTTTCTTTGGGGAATGAGAAGGTTTCCCACAACTTTATTATGAATTCTGCTGTGTATGTGCCGGCATGCTTCTGAGTATTTTTCTACATCATAACCACGTGAGTGAAAATAGCACATTTAGCTATATTTTTCCCTTTGCAATTTTACATTCGTTACCTCATTGGAGGTGGAAGGGGTAAAGAACAGGAATCATTTTAAAGCATATTTATTTATGTTCCTCATAGTTAAAGAAAGCTATGGCAACATTTTCCTGGCCCGCATATTCAATTAAATACACAGTGAATCTTTTCTACTCACTGAATTAGTTGGCACTTCCGAGTATTTATTTTTGGCATATCATTTCTTTTTTGTTTTTGCAGAAATTCTTAAAGTTTTATCATGATCTAACATTTTATTTTGAAAATCAAGCATATTTTAAAATTACACATATATATGTAATATATATATATATATATTATATATATATATGACTTGACTCTCTATAATGGTCTTTTTATGTGGTTATTTTTCCATTAATTATTTTCTAACGATCATGTAAAACTCTGTGAGGTTCACGGGAGAAGGGCAACTTCCTGGGATGAACAGCGCATGTCCCCCTGTCCACCAGGAGTTTACAGTCCGGAAGAGGGGCCAATATATAATCAACAGCTATTGAATGGATATTCCATTACCAGGAAGAACTGGCCGTGGCCACGGGACAACAGGCAAGGGGTACCGAGAGCACCTCTCCTGCTCAACATATGGGGCAAGTCCTCAACTTCCTTTTTGGCTAGGTCAGCATAAAGTCTTACATTCCTCAATATCTCTTGCCCCGCCCACACCCATATGAGCACACGCACACTCCCCTGCTCCAATCCAATCTACTATTATGTCTTCTATGCATCCTCTGCTTCTTTCTTTCCTTTCTTTCTTTCTTTCTTTCTTTCTTTCTTTTTTACAAATAGTTTATTGTCAAGGTGGTTTCCATATAACACCCAGTGCTCATCCCCACAAGTGCCCTCCTCCGTGCCCATCTCCCCCCTCCCCCCCCACACCCATCAGTCCTCCGTTTGTTCTCAGTACTCAAGAGTCTCTCATGGTTTGCCTCTCTCCTTCTCCCCCACTATTTCACCCCTTCTTCTCCCCCTTGGTCCTTCATTAAATTCCTCCTAATCCTCCTATATGTGCAAACATATGGTATTTGTCCTTCTTTCTTATATCCTTACATTTAACTCCAGTCTCGCTTTCTTTCCCCTGCTGTTCACCCTCATGGCCACTTCCCTGATCCATTCATTGCCATCGGCTAACTTCA